CTCTCATTTGAGAAATCAAGCAGGGCGTTGGCTAAAAGGCGCCTCTCAGCATCGATCATCGTTGATCTTCCCCATTCCACTGCCTGCAATACATGACAGGACGCACTCTGATGAGATTCAAACCCACATTCGTATCAGAAATTAATGAACTTTTATGTTGAAACAATCTACAAGTAGTGGATATTATATTATATTATATATGTGAACTGCTTCTGATGATAATTTGTCTCAGTAGGACACGTTGCTAGATTCATAGATCACAGAGCTTTATTAATGAAGCGCATCCCTATGTTTCGTTTGATAGAAAATAAGAGAGAAAAATACAAAATTTGAGGAAAAGTTATTGACATCATATATGAAATTAGTTTTAAGAAAATTTCCTCTACATTTTATTTCTCACTTACTTTCTATCAAACCAAGCAAGGTATAATGGTTTGCTAAAAAGTTATCTTCTATAAGGGAAAAGATAAATAGTAACCCGTTACACTGTTGAAATGGGATGTACCCAGATTATCGGTCCGTTTTATAAATTGAAAAGATAACCATGTCATCAGTCTTAAAATATGACTTTCTTGAATCTATAAAGTTATTAAAATTTAAACTTAATTTAAAGGGCTAATGTAGTTAAAAGGAGAAAATATATATATATATATATTGAAAGGAGAAAAAAAATATATCAAGTTTTAGAACACCAGTCATTTGGCAAGTTGTATATTGAATGAATGTAGGTACTTTTACTTTTATAAAAATTAGCTGAATGGCAGAGAGAGTGGAAATTTTGAAACGGTGGTTGTATTGACGTGAATCGAAGGCAGCAACCTTTCAGGAAGAGACTACAAGAGGTTGGGAAAGTTACAATTACTTCTTACTAGTCAGGACTCTGTTATTTATAAGCAAAATTGAGGGTGGAGCTATATGATATTTTCAATTAAGTAGTGTCTATTTAAGTTCAATTTAAGTATTATTTTTTGGGTTATGTCTATTTTGTCCAATCACAATTTAAGTTGCATTTTAGTGAGAGTGGCCAATTTCGTCTAGATAAATTTGTATTCTTTTTTATCTTAATTTTTTTTTGAAAAATAGTTTTTATTAATTTTTATTGGTTTATTATTTTTTGTATTGTTTTTAGATAAAATTACAAAAAGCATCTAAATAACAATTATATAAACCACTTTTGTGTTTTGACCTTAATTAACAATGGCCTCCCCTATAGTTTTGAGAGAAAAAAATGCAAATACTTCCTTTCCCTTGGCTTTTCAGCAACAAAGACATTGAAATTACCAAAATACCATTATCATACACAATTTAAATCTTCAACTTTACCCATCAGGCCATCACTAATTTATTTTGTCAAACAGCTTTCAAAGAATAATTCTCCTTACTCTTTTTGGACAAAGTAAGGCAAAAAATTTAATGCACTTTTTATTTGGAATGATGATGAAAGGAAGATATTTGCACATTTTTTCAAAACAATAGAGAAGGTTATTGTTAAGGTCAAAACATTGGGGAGTTTCATAGGATTGTTAGAAAATCCAAGGAGGTTTTTATAATTTTTCTTATTTTAAATGGAATTTAAATTGATTTAAAATAATTAAACTATATTAAACCGATTTTAAAAATTAAATTTAATTAAGTATATCAAGTTTTATTAAATTTAAATTCCTTATGAAATTAAGTTAACTATATTAAGTTTTTATTTTTCTATAGAACTTAAGTTGGTTTTAAATTAGTAAAAAGTAATTATAAAACTAATAATTGTTAAATAATATTGTATTAGTTTTATATTCATTTTAAATTGATATAGTTTTTAATTTATCTTATTCCTTTTTATTAATAAAAATATTTTTATCAATAACAATAATTAATTTTATTTTTATTTTATTTAAGTAACTTACTAAATTATTTTTGAATGGAATATAAATGGATTATAATTTTAAATGATATATCATTGAATATCTTAGTTTCAATATGATTAATCTTTACTAATAATTATAATTTAATGTATATAATATATATATAGTTAAATTGAAATGGATATACATATAGATTAAGTTAATGAATTTTGTGAAATTTGATGGAGTAATGGAGATGAGAGAGAATTAGTGGCATTTGTTATTGATGGAGAGAGTTAAAGACATAATTAATGAGGAGACACTATTAAAAGAGAATGTGTGTGTGTGTGAGAAAGAGAGAGAGAGAGAGAGAGTTAATGGCGAGTTAACAAGGACTGTTAAAAGTTTTGAAGGTGATTGGTCATTTGAATCATTTTATTCAATTTTAAAATTAAAGAATTAAAAAAAAAACCAAAAAAAGTGTTTTTGAGAAGTAACTAGAAAGAAGAGAAATGACACTGAGAATTAACCAGAAAGGTGCCAAGTTGGCAAATTGAAATGAATAGATAAAATTAATGGATTTTGTGAAATTTGATGGAGTAATGGAGATGAGAGAGAATTAGTGGCATTTGTTATTGAAGGAGAGAGTTAATGACATAATTAATGAGGAGACATTATTAAAAGAGTTAATGTATTTGTGTGTGAATGAGAGAGAGAGAGAGAGAGTTAATGTCTGAGATATCGAGGACTGTTAAACAGAAAGGTACCAAATTGGTCATTTGAGTCATTTTATTTAATTTCAAAATTAAATAATTCAAAAAAACCAAAAAAAAAGTATTTTTGAGACGAAACCAGAACAGAAAGGTACCAAATTGGCACATTCTATTTTAATATAGATATAGATTGGCATTAATTACTGTATTTATAAATATAATATTAAATATTTAAATAAATTATAATATATATTTTATGCATATGTTAGATGTTATATAATATAAAACATTATATATTAGAATTAATGTATTTAATGACAGAGCCAAAGCCCGGGCCGGGCCATGATCACTTCTTAGCAAGGAATATAGCACAGGTTTGACAAGTCATGAATTAATGATGGGTCGGTCCCCCATGGCCCATGCGAAAGGCAGCCTTTCAACTCACAATTGTTTTCAGACAAGAATTCAGGCCAGAAGGAGAAAAGTCAGAAAAAGGCACCCAATAGAGAGGAGCTTCTTAATTCTTATGGAATGAAAATCGTGGAACATGACCCAATTCCAACGAAGCAAGAAGTAAAAATCAATTTTGATGCAGCTAGATATTGTTGCATAGTCCTAAATAGATACGGAACGGAATCCTCTGGGGATTCCAAAGAAGCCGAATCCATGAATCATAGATAGTATTGACAAATGAAAGCAGACAATTAATTAAGTTGATGAGCAAGAAGAAATGAAACAGACCTTGCTGGGGATCCTTCTTCTGTAGAAAACGGAATCCTCTGGCGTCGAATCTACAAAGTCAGGATGAGGATGCACGTATATGTTGTAGAATCCTTGGTGGCCTTTGAAGAATTTCTCCCACAACGGCGCTAATGGCAAATGACCTTTCGTTAAGAACATGAAAGCAACCCTAGGTGTGAGACTGTATGGGAATACTGGGATCCGCGGAACCATGGATGCCCTCCAAAAGAGCTCCTCGTCATCCATACCGTGCATGAGAGATGGCTTTTCCTGATCATTCACTGCAACGGTACTCTCGTTCTGTGTTCTGTTGGTCGGAGGAGGTAAAATTGGCAGCGACAATGACGAGAGGGTCCCCGGTGGACATTTTGGAGGTAGGGTTGGTGGTTGTGATGAATGCAACGAAGGACTAGTGGACAACAACAGGTTGGCCTGTAAACTGAAATACAAATTTTTGATGTACAAACTGGCTATGGTTCCAATAGAAAGACCGATGACAAAGAAGAAGAAATGTAAAACATGGTATGGTTGTACGTGGGTATTCAGAAATTTGGGGATCAGTGGAGGTGAATGTTGTTCATTCCCCATCGTTCTGTTCGTTCCTTCGCTATCAGCCTATCACAGATACAGACAGTTAAACACAGAGAAACAAGAGGAGGGTTTGAAGGATGAAGGTAGCTAGATATATATATATATATATATATATATATTTTAGATAGCTTTGCTTAAAATAGGACTCGAGTACATGAAATCAAAGATGTAAAGTCTATGGTTTTATTGAATCTGCTAAGCAGTAACAGTGAAGCAAGGAAAGGTTGCCAATGGCAATTTAAGATTGAAACTACAATTGCTGTATGCCTGTATCAAATCTAAGTCAAAAGTACACATTACATGAAGAACGTTCAAAGTTTGGAAGAAGGGAGCACATGGAACGGAATGATTTTTGGATTGATTGCGTCACATCGCATTAACTCGGAGTCTATATCCGAAGATCCTACACAACCACAACCAGTGCGAAACGCCAAACCCAAAACCCACCGCCACCGGAATTTAAACCGATACAGGACTTAAAAAAGCGTAGATTGTGGATTAATGCCAGTGAAGTAGTGTAAAATATTTTTGCAATTGGATGGATATGAGAACAACCCAGCACTGATTTGTAGCCCAGCATATCTGTGGTGGGTGGGCTCCCGGCCCATCTATAGTCCTGTGCCCCAAGAGGCCAAGACATAAGAATTAGGGTTTTGGAAAATAATTTCCAAACTATAGAACAATGAACAATCATCTCCATTGCTAGTGCTGCCAATGGCTCAAGCCTATCTCATCAAACCAATTATAATGGTTCTGATTTCATGGTTTTATTCCGATTAATAATTCGGTTAGTTTCGATTCTTATCTGTCCTGAACCAATTATTTTATTTTAATGTTTTTATAATTTTTATTATATTTTATGTTTAAAATGATAAATTTGATAGAAAATAAATGATATATGCTGCTGCCCGGAATGGGCCAAGGGCAACAATGTCAATTTACTTCCGAGGTGAGGGCTGGTTGAAGAGTCCGAGGGCTGAAAGAGCCAAGGGCCTATAAATCCAACCTGTGAAGGAAGAAACACATAAGAGGTCCCGTGTGTCATCCCAGGGGAGGAGACTCCGACGGTCAAGTTAGCAAGGGCACGATAAGCAAGGCAGGACGAGGCCTAGATGCAAGGGCTCAGACGAAGTCACTAGGAAAGGAAGGTAGAGAGTTGAGAGAAGTAAATGCCAAGATAAATTACATAGGGAATGATGCCATTTATTTATACTTGCACCTGCCTAGAGTTAGTTATAGGCAGATGGCTAGGATACACTTTCACTTGTGCCGCACATCGCCATCTAAGGATGCCACGTGTCCACATTCCATTGGCCCTGTATAAATAATTTAATATTTTCTATCATTTTTATTAAGATTATATTATCAAATTTTAAATTTTAAATTTTAAATTATTACTATTATTATTTAAATAAACAAATATAGTTTCCAGTATAATCTAAGCTATTGAAACGGTTTTGAGTCTATGATTTTGACCCAATTAATAATCGGTTTGAAAGTAGTTCTACTGAACCAAACCCAACTCCAACCGATTGACGGTCCTATCCATTGCACGCTATGAAGTTGCAATAAGGTATACTCAGCTAGCAAGTAGTAGCAACGTATGGCGTTTGCTTAGATGAGCAGCTTTGTGGTTGTGGGTGATGGGCTAGTATCATAGGAATCTAATGTTTAAAAAAGGGATCTAAACTCAAGACCTGTTGAGAAATTATAGCATTAGTAGAGGTCACAAGGTACCATAACGAGGCACTTAGACCCAGAATTAAAAAATAAAAATAATAATGTAGGTAACCTTAACAAAACACAAAACCCTAATCACACTGCTTAAATCTAAGGGAGCTGAGCTTTGTTTACTTGAGGCTCTTTCTTCTGCAAATATGCGCGAGTACGTTGCTTCAGACCTTGTCTGATCGCCCAACACAAACAAATTCTTCTTTTTGCCCCTGTATAGGAAAAAGGTTATTGTCCTTTTCATTTACCATAACACACAGACCGGACAAGCACAGTAACTGGAATACTGGATGCATGTCAAGGGTTCAACACTTCAACTAGTTCTTGTTGTTTTCAACTAAAAAGTCTTCCAAAAATGGAGAGGAATTCTGCCAACCCCACTTACTAGATGGGAGTGATGATGGAAAGTGGAAACACTCTTTTTAGGCCAAAATCAGTTGAGTATTATTATTCTAATAGCTGAGTCTGTGGGTTGTGCTCAATCTGGTACGACGGCAATAATCTCACTCTTGAGCAAGCATAAGCATAGATTTATTTGGTAACCATGCTGATACTTGTAATATGAAACTGATTTTCTATTCAAGAAACCTCCAGAAATTAATGAATCCATTGGCACATATAATTCAAATTAAAAATGATTTTGATGGTGTTTCATTCATCAAATACTTGGTGTCAGTTCAGCGCCAAATAGGCATTTACTTTTTTGTTTGGCTAAGCTTTTTATTAAGAAAACTTTTCTTGAGTTATGTGAGAACAAGCCATCCGTTACATTTTCTCAATAAAACGTTTTTACCGGATTAATGAAAGCCATGAGTTGGGAGAAAACGTTATTTATGATATTTCCCCTAACGGTAACGCATATTTTTTTACTGTTTATCACATGTGGCACTTAATGACACCAAACTGTCCAAAAATCCTAATAAATAATTTGAAAAAAAAAGTACCATACAAAATGTTTATTAAATATTACTATAATAGAACTAGACATCCCCAAAATTATAAACTTCAAAAGGCGAGGTTTTAAAACCGGATCCGACAGGGTACCGTTATGGGGTCCAGTTTCAAGGTCGATGGTCTTACTGTCTAATTCAAACAGACAATTCGCTCTAATAAAAAAATTAAAAATTAAAAAAAAATAAAAAAGCAGCCAAAAATCATTGTTCAAGTCGATGGTTTGACTGTCTAAATCAATGATTTATTGACCAAATTAACGGTTTTAGTCAAAAAGCAATTTTGGAATGAAACAGAACTGGTCAGGTGATTGGGTCCCGGTTTTATATACCATCACTCTCTCCTCTGGATCTCTCGATATTTTTTTTTCTTTTCCTTTCTCTTTCTTTTTCAAGCAAAATAAAAAATAAAAAAATCTTATCAGTGAGAAGATCCAAGATTAACCCTTCTTTTGTTTTCAAATTTATCTTAGTTAATTAACCTCCTCCTGTCTGGCCTGATTCGTGGTAGCATACAACTTAGACAATCAGATGTGAATTTGCCATCCTAGGAATGTGTGTACTCCAAGCAAGCAAGTTTGACCTCATTCCATGCTGAATTGGACCAGTACAGATTTAATGGTCTAAAGTATTTATTGGATCGGACCTGGTCCATCTATAATATTTATATTGGATCTGGATTGGGTGGGGAATGAACTAGTATCCGGTCCACTGATAGAAAATAAGGATACAGGTGTCAATGGACCAGATTTAAATTAAAACCAATTTATTATTTGAACAGATTGGATGGTTCAAACATTAAACTAGACTACTCCAAAATGATTCAGAATATTCATCAGATTAAATTGGACTTGATCCATCTGTAATGATTTTATATTGGATTGGATCGGATTGGACCAAATCCGATTCTAGAGGGGAATTAATATTAAATTATTAATATCATGGCCGATACGAATTGCTTGCTTGTGTTTGGGAATTGGGGGTGAAATTCCCGCCGTGATGGTAGGAATGACCAACGACCATAAGGATTTTACATTTTAGCATCCGTGTACGTGTAGGGACTATGGAGATTATATTAAACAAATTGACTTCCCCTTTTAGTAAAGAGTAAAAATTAAAAGAACGTAAAACTAAAATCTTCTTTCGCTCGGAGATCTTCGTTCTGCAAATTTTAAGCAGAAACAATAATACCAAGCAACTATAACGTTGGAGCTAATTTTGGTATTTCAGCAAAGTAAACTTAATTTGGTCTTTGGCTATTCGGGAAAAAAAAAAGAATTAAGCTGGCTGCTTTTTTTTTTTTTTTTTCAAACAGGCAAAGCTTTCCCATTTCAGCTGGGTATTAATCCATTTCAGTTGGATGATGAAGTCATTTCCGGCAAATGGAAACAACTTAGTCAAAACTGAATATTCTTCGTTACAACACAGGGTTTGAGTCCCATCAAATATACTGACCAATTCAAAGGTACTAAATTCATTGCTTGAGTCACACCAAGACATATTAATAATAATAGAAAAAAGCATTGCTTGAGATTGGAAATTAAGATCAGAATCTGGTCAAAACGAAAAGAAGCTGCCAAAAAACTTAACGTGGAAAAAGTGATCACATTCTTCCAAGTGAGCACGTACGAAAGCTATCCAGTTGACACTGATTACATTGGTGGGATGGACGAATATCAACACTCTATTAGGATTTTAAAATCATTTTTGTGATGTTTAGTAGGTTTATGCATTTTTTCTAAAAAAACGTCTAAAAATTACAAAAAACATTTTTTTATATATCTTAAATGAATTCTATTAATGGTTTATCGAACTCATTGATCAAACAATAATTTATGTCAATAATGATATTTTTTTCTTAATGCTTGATAATTTACATAAATAAAATAATCAAATAATTATATTAGTGTTTAGTGAATGCTAATTGAAAATTTTGAATTACATATTATATGCATCTTAGAAGTTCCAATGGACCTTATGTATTTTAACTAGATTTATAAGTTTCTTTAAGTTATTAATTAATAATTTAGTCCACAATAAAACAATAAATAAAACATATATATTGATTATTTGAAAAAATAAAATTTATTATCTATATAGAAAATCTTATATAAGTAACAATTTACCCAATATTGTTGATTGGAATGTATCTCTTTATTCTTTTTTGTAAGCAATCTTCATATAAAGAATTAAAGTGTGCATTTCTTATTTGTTTATACCTTATTCATACTCATTTAAACCTTAGATTTAGTTTTATTGATGTATTTATGAAATTTCAAAGAATTTTCCTCATTTATCCAAGCATATTCATATCTATCCACCATTCCATACATATCCAAAGTGTATCACAATATGCTATAAAAAAATGCGCATCACAATATATAT